GTACTTCCTCGCCACAAGTGGACCCCTGGAATCCCTCCGCTGCCCCTCGTACCATCATGGGAGCCGGAGTGCCGATGAGCTCGGCGCCATTGGGTGCAGCAGCTGGAAACGATGCATGGGGTGGTCGCACCCAGTCGCCATCGGTGGCCTCGGGCTCCTCCAACGAGGGCTGGCTACAGACCAATGGAAATGCCAACCAAAACGGACGTGGAGCCACTCCGGCGGGAGCTCCAGCTGAAGGCTGGTTAATAAAATCAACTGCTGTCGGAGCTTTGGGAGCTGCACCCGTGAGTCATGCGGCAAGCAATGGCAGCTCATCTGCGGATCCTTGGCTGGCTGAGCCAGCAGCATCAGCGGCAGGAGGAGCAGCAGCTGGTGGTTTGGCGGATCCCTGGGCGGCAGGAGCAGCACCTCAGGGCGCGGGTGGCCTGGATGATCCCTGGAAAGCCCTGGGAACAGGCGCCATAAAGGTAAAGATTCTTTGGCATATAATAACAACAAGCTTATCTCTTAGCCATGGTTTTAACTGCAGTTATTTAGTTCAATGCACTTCATAGATAATTCAATTTACTATCAGTTGTCTAATTGCATTCAGCTAATTAAATTATAAAATCAGATTTTTCTATTTATTACATTATTGTAATTCAATTACCAATATGTCGGACTATTTATTTAAATTCCAGAAACAATCCCCCGAGTTTGATGAGTTTGACTTAATTACTAACCGGAACAAGAGTGAGCTAAGCAATTCCAACGCCTCCAACAACAACAATGGTAAGTCTTTCATACAACACTTATAATCGCTTTCAAGCTTATCACTGAGCAAACATTTTCAGCGTCTCTGCTCGACGACATGGATCCGCTATCGGCGAACTACGGAAATGGAGCCATAAGCAGCAGTGTGCATCCGTCGACGGGCGCCACGGCAAAGAAACCGCTGAAGGATGCCCATTCCTTCCTCGGCGAGAACTCCGCGCTGGTTAACCTGGACAATCTGATCAAACCGATTGCGCCACAGACGCAAACGGGTAATCAGCCGGCATACAATCCCTTCAGCGATACCGTGATGCCACCGAAGACGAATCTATTCCAGCAGCAGCAGCCAGCCGTGAGTGGAGTTTAATGATCTAATCTTAAAGATGTAAACAAGCTAATAGTAATTACTTACTTTCTGTAGGTGCCGTCCATCAATCAGCTTAAACAGCAGGCTCCCTTCTCAGTCAGCATGAACCAGGATCCCTGGGCGCCCGTAATGGGTGGCGTTAGTGGGACTTCACAGGTGAGTTGCCAGCACTTGGAGGATAAAAATGCGTCTGCGGTGTTAGGGAAACTCTACCTACTTGTACTTGTATCTTAATTATTTTATTGAGGTTTTGTTGTCTGATGATTTATCGATATTTCTGTTTACTTTTTGAAACTATCTTATCATTTCACGTGTGCATTTTGTTTCCTTTTACTATCGTTTGTCCTTCTGTCATTTCGTTTTGAGCAACTATTGCATGCGATACCCGATATCCTAGCCAAAACTTCCGCCTCCCGTGCGTCCCACTAGCCTCAACTTGGGGCCTCCGTCCGTGGGTGAATTTCAGCTGTTGAGTGCGTTTAGTAATCCCATCATTCCCTCCGCCACCATCCTCCAGCCACAGCAGAATTCGCAGGTCTACAACTCTGCGTACCAGAGCAATAGCAGCACCAATATCCTGAGCAACAGTAACATGAATAGCTCCACCAGCAACAGCACCATATACAGCAGCTATGCAAGTCCGAGTCCTGGCATCGATGGCATCCGCAACATGGATATATTCACCGAGCGTCCATACTATAATAGTCCAACAGCACCTGCTGATGAAACTTATATGTACAATGGCACCAATAATAACAATGTCAACAGCAACTATGGTACTCCCAGACTTTATTCAAGCTATGCTGCCAGCTATAGCAGCGCTCTATCCGACTCGCTGGCCGAAACCCCGGGAATTAGTGTGGCTCCCATGGGCTTTGTGGCCGAGCCTGCCATGAGTTTCGGTCCCTCGTCCTCGGCGGCCAACAATTGCAAGCTGGAAGTGAGTGAGGTGCCGCTGAAGTTGTCGTTACTGCCAATTCACTACTACTTCCTCTGCCAGAAGCTGTTATTTATTGTTTAGCTTGCGTTTATTTGTTCAGTTGAAACATTATTTATCTTGGTTTACTTACCCTTTGTTTGACTTGCAAGTATGAGAACTACGAACTGCCAACTGGAGAGCGTAGCAAAGGAAATAGCATTCTTCGGTTGAAAAATATTTAACTCCTAACTATCATACTCAGAAAAAGTCTGTTAATCATTAATATTTAATTAAAATATACAGGTTTTTACAAAGTAGAAAGTATTAAATTTACGTGTATTTTAAAGATAATATTTTAAAACATATTAAAAAAAAGGTTTTTCTGAGTATAAATGCAACTAATGCTTACCTTTAAGCCTTTTTCCTTTGCTGCTCCTCTGAAAAAACGTACGCATCTTAACCAGAAACAGCTCTGCTAAAACCCAGTTGATCCATAATATTTTCTAATTGTAGCCATCAATGGAGGCTTGGACGCTTAAATAAAACACATACAATATGCAATAAATGCAAATGGGTAAAATGTTTTTCGAATGTGCATGCTCCGCTATTTAACTCGTAGACTCTCCCCTCTTAACAAACTAAAAACATTAAACCTGAAGACTAATCCCTATAGTTGGCTCAACTAACTCTAAATTCTGAATGTAGTTCGCTTATTTATCGCAAATTAGTTTTACGCGAACGTAAAAATATCGATCACATACTTATCCATTCCTTGAACTTTGCAGCAAAATAACAACATGCCGTGGATCAAGCCGGAAGCAGCAACAAATCCATTTTTGTCGTAAACTGGAGCCGATCAATCAAGAGCAATGTGTGCAGGAGCAGCAGCGGGATCATCAACTAAGGGAACGTCATCTAATCAAGGCCTGGCTGGTGTATATGGAGCTGTCCAATAATAGCATTAGCCACAATAGCAGCAGAAGCAACCAATTTAAGCTCTACATAACTGCAAAGAGAAAAATATGAATTAATTAATAAATTATGTGTAAGGAAGTATTATTAAAGTGTAAAATATGTGATGTACGTGAGAGAGAAAGCCAAGATCCAGCGATAGAACGTGTGGAGGAGTAGAAACAGCAACGACACCCAGCCAAGATGAGTGGAGAAATCTGCCTACTTCGCGCAGGAAGCTTACATTCAAACACAACTTGAGTCTAACACATTTGCAATAACTAAACCTGTAAACCAGCCCATAAGATAGCATAAGGCATCCCCAACGCCACTCGACTGACTATGAAATTATTCTCCCTACTATTCACACACTAAATCTAATGTTTTTAAAGCTCATGGGTATATTGTGCCCCCTTTAAGTTGAGTGGTTGTCGGGGATGGCCCACTGTCAATCTTCAAGTACTTCCTTAGTTGATCACTTACTGTTAATTAAGTTGTACCCTTGTTGAGGCAAAAACCAAGAACGCAAAACCGGTAGTGGGGAAATCCGATCGAGTCCAAACGAGAGATGCGAAAATGAAAACTAAAAAATTGTTATATAGCTTTAAAGATTGCGTCGGAAAAGAAAACATGTTAAAAACAATGGTAAACAATTTATGTGTGCTTGTAATTGTAAATTTTTTACGTTCTTATTTTGTGAAATTTATTGTGCGCGCATGTTGCAGAAACCAAATACAATTATTAATGGCTTTTGGCTATCGATTTTTAAACACATTTTTACGATTTTTTCGAGTTGACAGTTGATTTGTTTGTGCATTCGCTTTTGGTCCACCTTCAAGACACCAATGCATACACGAGTTTGCTGTTGAACATTTTTATAGTAACTAGTTTAAAATTTACAAGAACCTTTGAACACATATACAAAGAACAAGAATAATAACAAGAGCAAATCGAAAACTAAAACAAAGGAAAACAAAACAAAATGATGGTATACATTTAGGCTAGAATACGTAACGAATTGTATAAGCGTAACTTAATGATAACAAAATATACATATACATAAAAGAGAATTCGATTCGGTGTGAATTTATGCTTAAGAGATTTACATGCCTAAATAGCAAGCGTATACACCCCACAACGCTGATACCCTTTTATATATATGGAAACACACACCTCTCCCCAAAAACACACATACACTTGCGAAAATGCAAATTTTAAGCATATTTTCATATTATTAAAATTTTATTTTAACTAAAAAAAGCGAAGAAAATCCATGTAAAAGTCAGACCACTTTTGATGCTCCCATTGCACAACTAAGCGGGTGGCGACTGAGTGTGCCAATGCCCGGGGGCCTCCACTTGACAGCCAGCGCCAGCATTCAACACTTTGTTGGGGCATCACACTCATGTCGGATACATCGGGCAAAGGCAACCCCAAGCCCAATCCCAACCTGAATCCCCGATCCCAGCAGCAACGGCAGCACGATTATGTTAATTTCGGGGGCCGCCAGAGTGCAGCATTAACGGAGCACGCCCACCGCATATGGCAGTGATATTTTGGCCAGCTGGGATTGGGATGTGGCTGTGGATATGGATTCGGGATGGGGCTGGATATGGATATGGATTGCTGGATGTGGCTGTTGCGCAAGTGGCCAGCTAGCTGGCAGGCTGGTTTCGGTTTTGATATTTGACATGCGCCAGGGGCCATCAGGAAACTTCGTTTAAATGAAATCAAAATGCACAAATACATAATTTACACAAATTTGCCGTCGACCGGCGGTACGAGTTTATCGCCTTGGCTGGGCACGAAGAAAGAGCGGCTCCTCAGATGGCTGGGAAAACGCTGGCGAATTGTATAATGCATCGGGTATTCCAGGAGCGATGAGCATCCAGCAGATCCAGGAAGAACTGACTTCCGAACGGGGTGATGTGAAAAGTGGCACAATGAGGTATTTATAAGATAAGGAAATATGGGGTACACAATACAATTGTTTATTAATTTGTTATCTTATTGAATAAAATTCATTTGGTTATCAGTTTCCAGGATATGGAATATCCAGGTCACATAATTGGCCAATTTGGTGTAGACTCCAGGAAAATGTGGATCAGCACATCCATGAGCGAAGGATACTATCCCATAGCTACAGCCTCGGTGAACCAGGGGAGCTCCTGAATCTCCGAAGCAATGATCCCGTCCAGCGTCGGCCGCACACACCATATCATCCGTAATGGGTCGATCCAAATGAGAATAAAGTCGACGACAACGCCCCTGATTTATAACCTTTACCAACGTGCCGCGCAGCTTGGGTTCCGCATCATTATCATTGGCATCTGGACTACCCCAACCGGCAACAAAGAGTGTCTGTGGAAGGATATTAAGTCCTGGAAGCGGTAGTTTTACCAGCTGAACACTTCCTCCAACAGTGAACGGTTTGCCAATCTTTAGCAATGCGATATCGTTCTCCAGGGTCCGTAATTTGAAGTCAGGATGGAGGATAGTCCTGACCACATCCCTTTTCTGACCACCCTTATCAGCGGATGTAGATCCTGCGCGAACGGAGTAACTATCCGGATAGTAAACACAATGTCCTGCTGTGACCAACCACTGGGATGTTATCAATGCCGAGCTACAAGTATAGTTTCCATGCACACTAATGGAAGCCAACCAGGGTGACAGATGAATAAGCAGTTCCACTCCACCTACGATTCGTTCCTGATTATATTTAGCCCATGTTTTATGGTCCCAAATGAGCAATAAAACCAACACCGAAAGTATCATCGTCCGTACAAAAACAAATCGACCGTGAAGATCGAACATCGGGCGATACCTGAAAGTTGAGCTCTTGACCTTTGGGAGGAAACTCTGGTCTGGCAAAAAAGTTTAGAATCAAGAATGCTAATAACCTCTAGCTTTGGCTTGCGACTTACTGAATTCTGATTAGCCCATTAATTATATAAGACGTTCCTCTTTTGGAGGCCGGAACGGGAATCAACTCAAATCTTTTCAAAACGTATTTTTTTGCATAGTACATATAAATTATACACATTCCATTCTTCGTATATTTACATTAATAATTTATTCATTCTTATAAATCAGAAAAGAACATTCAAAAAATGTCAATAAACAAATCTGTCTTAAATTTGAATCAAAGAATGGGGTTTTAATAGAGTATATCCATCTTAATAGTATCTTTATAACTGACAAACTTAGAACACATTTCTTTCCAATAATAGGTTTATTGTGTATTTCAAAAATTAATTATTGCGAGCCACCTCCTTCATCCATCTAACAAATCGCAAGATATTGACATATACTCCCGGATAATTTGGATTGTTACAACCGATTCCAAATGACGTGACTCCATAGAGAAAGCCCTTGTGGACCAGCGGACCTCCTGAATCTCCTGAGCAGGTGTCTCGGTTCTTTCGCTTGGCACAGATCATTTGCTTGTAGATCCTGATACCTGCATTCCAATAATCCTGCTGGCATTTGCTTCGCTTTACCATGCAGACTATAACTCCCCGCAGATACCGCTGGGCATTCTTAGCGTTTGCCGAAGTCAGTCCCCATCCGCTGGCCAGATAACAGTTGGGGAATCGCTTGGTTTTCGGGGACGGAAGCTTTGCCCTTTGGACACACCGGCCGAGTTTCAGTGGGCTCTTCAGCTTCATCATGCACAGGTCGTTCTTCATGCTGTATTCACTGTAGCCCGGATGGATCACTGTCTTCTGGACGTGGCGGAGCTGGCCACCTCTCCTCTGTTGCGTCGATCCCGCTCGAACAGTATATCTTCCAGCTCTACCAACCTTACAATGCTGGGCTGTGAGAATCCATGTGCGGGAGAGTATTACGCACCCACAAATAAAATTATTATTATAATGGAGAGCACACTGATAAGGTGCTCTGGAGCACTTTATCTTTCTGCCATTTACTATACGAGTTGGTAGATAATCCTGTGCTTCCAGGGCATTTATCGCGGGGTTAGTAGATATATTTCCAGGTAGAAAGGTCTGAGGCTTGAGTCTTGGCCCTTGATATAGTAGATAGTGGGTCCCATTGTCTACATAGTAACCACTCCAGGAAGAACTTTGCGGCTGTCCACTTGCTACCACGATACATAGAAAAGCAAATACTAATATTCCCGAAAAATGTCCAATCTTTTTAAAATTCATATTTACAACCGATCAGGGCCACGATCGCCTCTCGACTAAAATATCTTACAGCAGTTAGTCACCTTTCGACCTCTTGGTTCCCGGTTCTTTAATAGGCATATTTTTGTTGGTCTTGGCCATTTTTCTTTAGCGGAGTTGAAGTAGGCCAAGTTAATTAGCAGATTAAACAAAAAACAGCCCGAAGCGTTTTCAGATTTTGCATGCTGTCAAATTGTAGTCATAAGCCACACGCTCATGCCAAACATTCCTAAGATCCCGCCTTATTTTAAATAAAACACTTAAATATAATTAAATAATTAAACCATAATATAGAGCTGAAAATTAATTAAGGTGTTAATCTGTTAAGTTGAAGGATAATTAAAATATCCATATGGTATCGAACAAATAAAAACAAAACTCAATGCGCGAAAACAAAAAATTCTAATAATTAATATTTTTGTAAGGACAATAAATCGATTAACCATTTTATAAAATCAATATATGATTTAAAACAGAGATGGGTTAAGTTTGAGATGATATAATAGAAATATTTTCTTCTGCTTTCAAAAGTTCTTCTTCAAAAGATGCGATAGATTAAGAAAGTGAAAAGAAGCGGGTCTTGACTTTGTCTTTGGCAAATGTTTTGCATAAATTTCGCCATAACCATAACTTAACCGGAGCTTTGTCTTTGTTTATTGCCGCTAGTGGCAATGGCTTATTACCCCTTTTCACTCCTGGTGTTTTTTGTGGCAGGTTTCGGCTGCCCATTTTTGGTAGGGCACCGCTTCCGCATGACTGGCGGGCTCTCAGAGACTCAGGCGGAGACAAAACAATAAAACTATTAATTTAATGTAAATTTTGCGCAGCTTAATTATGTGCGAAATCACAGGGGACACAATGGTGGATGTGGACACGGCCGGGCAGGAATAATTAGGCAGGCGCACTCGCACAAAAGTGAAAGGAGGACTTGGACTTGGGGACCAGGTCCCCAGTTCCCCAGGTCCAGGTTTAGGCCATAATGGTGCCGCCGATAATTATGTAAGCAGGCAGCAGAAATTCATTAGCCCGGCGCCTATGCAAATTTCTTTTTGCCCCGCTCCTTAAATTGCATTTACGCGGGAGCTGCCAGCTGCCAGTTGGTCGATAACGGTGGCATTTCACTCGTTTCTTGCTGAGATTACTCGCTTATCGCCGAATGGAATGCCACATTTTTTTTGTGCGGCAAGAGGGAAGGTGATGGAGGAGATGGAGGAGCTCCCTCCAAGGCCCGCGGCTAAGTGGGCCAGCAATAATATCCGCCAGTTTCGTGTGGCGAAAAGCGTGAAGAATCGCAATTTGTATGGTTTAATTAAAAAATCTGTCAAATGCCAGTTTGTGTGCTCATTAATGTGTTTCTGAGGCAGGCCCCAAACAGCGAAATCATGCTTGACATAGCATGAACCCGGGTTCCAATAGACCATGCCGTTCCACATCGCGATATTATGCTCGATATGTGCGGCTCACGTTGATGTCTGGCGGCAGATGGGGGAGCTGCCAACTGCCGACTGCCGACTGCCTGCACCTTTGACAAAACGCCAAACGAAAGACTGAGGCAACGAACCTGGTTATTACGAGCCTGTCGTGGCGACGGCTCTTGCATAATAGGAACTTTGGACCAAATTGATTTTTAATTATGGCTTGCCAAGAAAAATGTTGAAATTCCAAACGACGGGATGACTGTTCTGGGAAGGTTGCTCCTTTGAAAGCTACAGTCGAAGCTTAATAGGCGGAACTCAACAAGCTCTAATGAAATTTTGATTATTTAAGAATTTAAGTTTAAAGTCTTTGTTGTTTTTGAGAATTTTAAGATGGTACTCAAATAAAAATATAAGATTTGGCGACTTAAAAATAACTTATGTGGATGAAGATATGTTTTTCTAAGTATATTTTTGATGTTTTATTTAAGTGCTTAGTGTTATATTTATCGAAGCCGTATTTAAAAGGCACTCTGTGAATGCATGAACTCATCTAGCTGTTAATTCGAAGTAAAAGAAATAAAGATCTCTCGTTATGATCCCCTGGATTACCCGCAATTCGGTGGCAGCAATTAAGCCATTACAGTGGCCTCAGCAGCAACTTTCATTTTCTGGCATAATTGAAACATAATTTTTGTAGTGTAAAATCGCACCGGCCGGCACTCGAACACGCCAAGAAAATTTCACCCATTTCGCACGTTTCATGTCGATCCGAGCCGTTAGTTAATCATTTGATGGCATTGCGCAGCCTTTTTGTCAAGTCAGCACGCGAGACGCACCCGACCAGTCGCCATATATCGGCAATTATCACCGGAGCCATCAGCTCCCGATAGCGATAGCAGGCTCGGAGTACTCCGTCTCCGTACTCCCCACTCCAAAAATCCAGACTGCAAGCCCCATGCCATTCGAATCGGGACAGACGCACCTCCAACACCACCTCCTACGGCGACCCTGCTTTCCTGTCCGCCCGGGATCCGCCCATCACTTAAAAGAATTGTGACATTTAGACACAACAAATCATAGCAGAAAGCATCATTAGATTGCACAGCAAAAAAATGTAGGGGTATTGCATGTAAAGGAATCATTTTGGATAGCTTTATAAGTTAATTTATTTAGATTTAAAAATATACAATATATAATAGGGATAGATTTACTTAAATTAAAAAAGGAAATTATTTATAATTAGTAAGATATGGTACGAGTATATGGTAAACATTAAACACTAAATAGAAAATATTATAGTATTCTATAAAACAATTTGAATACTTGAAAAGTTAGGATAAGTATTTAGTTATATACTATAAGATACTGTTTGGAAATAACATCTTAAAAATCAAAAAAAAAAGGGAAATGGTTTTTAAATAGTGAGTCAATATGTCAAATAAATTGGCTTAAAAGATTTGGTTAATTTTGTAAAATAGTTCATTTCTTCTTTCATATGATTTTAGTGTGTGAAAAAATGAATATGGGCATTGATGCTGGCAACAAGGTTACCATTAACAAGGCACTTAAGTCTCTGGGAACTGGAGATTAGGATACAGATTGATCTATATTTTTTTCGGTGTGTCTCTGGCTGTCTCGTTTTGTATGTCAATGGGTGTATAGAAATCGAAAGTTTCACACTTGTCAATTAAGTGTACCGAGTGGTGGCTCTTGTTGTTGCCGTTTCCACACTTCATCATGCGAGTCGGGCGGTACTGGGCATAGCACTGCATTGCATTGCATTGGCACCGCCGTGGAGCTGCAGTTGAAAAGCGGCTGTCAATGAAAATGAAATTTTATTGAGATTTTTGTCCGACACCCCGCCCCCCCCCAGCCACGTTCCGAGATTAATTAGAAAAGTGCCTGCATTTGTATCGCTCGGTTCGGCCGTGTGTGTTTGGGTAGCTTAATTGCTTTGACGACTCGTGCGTGTGTGTGGTTATATAAGTCGTAAAATACTTAAGCCATAATAATCTCCAATTGGAAACGACTATCACTTTTACTATCGACCGCTCCGACTCATAAAGCTAACAAGCGAAAATCGCTGACTCTTCTAAGCGATTCTGGTGTGGGGGTTCAGTGAAAGTAAACGCTCCACGGGAGCGGGTGACAATGTTGCAACCGGTGGACCAGTGGACCGAAGTTTTCCTTATGCACAATAATGCACTTACGCAATCAATCTCATCCGTCAGCGGCATGATCGGCAACTCCTCCGATCGATCTGCTCCCGCTGCTCATTAAACGCACATAATTGTTATATCGATGTTGCGGGCACCTACTCGCGACCGGTTGCATTCAATGGCCAAATTTGGTTAAATAATGCACAAGCCCACTGGCCACTTTTACCTGGCCGAAAAAAGAGCGAAACGAAAGCGAAAGTTCTTTTGTCTTGCGTTTAACCAAAAACAAAATGAGGCAAACAAAAACGCAGCTTCGATTCGATTCTTATCGCCCCGCTTTTTACGCTGCACTCCGCTGCCAGATCGGCAGATTTATGCACTTTTCATTTCACTTACCGGCCAACAACGAGCTCAACTACATGAAACGATGCCGAGGAGCCGGCAACTTTCTTCGGCACTCCATCGAAATTATTATGCGCATATGGGGGCGCCAACATTGGGACACCGGGACACCGGGACACTGGGACTCCCGATTCATCGTTCCACCAGCCTCCTCACCCGATTCTTTAAATTGCCACTTGCACTTGACCGAGCACATGCCGCAGGGCCTGGCGGAATCTGAAAGAGGTGAGGGTCCAGGAAGACCACATATAATACGGATGCACAGTGATCATGGTTAGCTGGTAGTTTGGAAAAGGAAATATTTCCAGTCTAAAATCTTAACACTTTTAATGAGCTGTTGTGTTCTACCGATATCGAAAAGCAAGTTCAAGAGTATTTTTGTCTTGATTTCAAGAACGTTTCTTCTTCAAAAAAGTGAGAGAATGAATTCTCAAACATGGGCCAATTACCAAACTAAAAAAAGAAAATACAAATGTATTACAAGTATTTGCAGAAGGGTCAAGTAGATAACAATCCTTTGAAATAACCTTTTGAGTAGCAAATAAAAATATAAAATTGAATTGAGTTATAACCTTACTGTAAAACATAACATAGTTCCAGCCCATAATTAGGATAGTGGTAAAACTATATCAGAGTAACTCTAAAGATAGACAGAAAAACAACTTAATTAAATTATTAACAACCAGTTACTAAAACTACCTTATAGAGAGAGACTTCTCGAGGAGGTATTTCTGAGGGTTCCACTTAATGCCAACCACTGTGCCTTGGCTGGGCCACCCAGAATGTGCGACAAACTGGGCCCCAATTAAGTTTGCAGCGTTTTAATCGAGTCGATGCGTTTTCGGGCATTAAGTTTTGAGTTTTTCAGTTCACAGGTTGGGTTAATTTGTGAAAGTTTTGTGTAAACAAAGCCCCAAAGCCCCCCGAGGGTCTGGATCTGCAGTTGGTCAGTGCGCAGTCCTCAGTTCGGCCATAAATTCAATCAGGCGTGGCCAGTGGACGATCGAGATCGGTAGAGAGGTGTACGAGCGTTGGGCAGACGATGTCAATATATTTCTCTTCCCCGGTCTCGGTTGACATTGGCTTAAAATATTTGGAGTAAAACTGATTTAATTGACGTTGACGTTGCGTAATCTCCAGGCATTGGCCGTGGCCCTGCCAATTGGCCGCATCCTGTCATTCCAGGGCGATAACAGCGGCACTCAACTGGACAATAATGTGGCATAATTGGCCAGCCCAGGTCGGATTTAAGCTGGGCTCGAAACTGGCCTCTCAACTGGGCTCTTAACTGGGCTTAAACTGGGTTAGTGGCGCCGGCGCCAAATCGAAAACTCGAAGCGGGATACGGGCAAAAACCAAAACAAAGCACGGCCCATGGAAAAAGTGCAGAAAACGAAGCCAAATCGACCGACCAGTTCGTGTCATGTGATTTTTATCGTTAATAGGAAACAACTGCAGCAGCAGCCAAATCCAAAGAGACAAGTACAAAGCCAAAGCGCCGCCAATTGTTGCTGTTTCGCTAGTTTATATCGAACTGCGGCTGGCAGGGCAACAAATGTTGCATTGACATGAAAAGGGTTTTTATTCAATTGCTGGCAACATGCTACGCCGCAAATAAAAAAATAAAATAAAATAAAAATAAAAATGTAGGCGCCTGTGAGTCAGTCTGCAGAGAAAAAATATATTGGCATACTAGGCTACGGGTGCTATCCTTTATTAATCTAATACATTTAAGGGGTATATATTTCAAATATATTTCCCAACTAAACATATAAATACGGTGTTCATATAAAAATATTCAAAATGTACATAGTGATTTTTAAATGTAGAGATATCTTACAATTTTTGATTGTATTCATTTTTAACACATTGAACAATTTGTATTTCTCGAAACCCTCTGTTCCTGAAATTAAAGTGGCATCCATTTCAAATCATCTGAATAAAAAATTCACCATTTTTCCCTGTGTTCCCAGAGAAAAGTGTGCAATGCTAATCTGGCTGTTGTTATTGTTGTCTCGCAACTTTCATAATAAAATCAACAACGCAATCAAATTACAAGCCTTGGAATACATATAAAAAGTAAGCAAAACACAAATTATGCAAAATGTTTTAGGCACGAAGCCCCGCTACTCCCAGTCGCATTTGCCATCCGTTTAAGGCTCGGGAATCCCCTCGGAAACCCCTTTGGAAACCCCTCCTCCAGATCGGCGATCAGTGATCACTTACAAGTCAGTCAGTGAGGCAGCAACCGAAGGCAGAGCCAGGTCAGTACTCTCACATTCACATTCATCTGACTGACGGACAAGGTCTTCGCCATTTCCATTTCCATTTCCATATGGAGCTCTACTCTCTCTTTTTTCAAAGAAATTGAAAGTTCTCTGGAGGGAATCCTAAACATGAAATAGGTTTTTACAAGGCCGTTAAACCACAAGTTATTCAAGTGGTAAAATGATATACATAAACATTTGGAATAATGAAGAACAACATAAAAAACCATTTTGAATATACTTCAGATACACAAAAAGTTAACTTTCAGGTGATCTTGAGTATAGCCTATATTTCTAAATTTTACTAAAAATAATAATTTTAGAGAGCCTTTTTCATATATCTCAGGAAATAAGATCAATGAATTTTAATTTCTCGCCTTAGTTTCTAAATTATGTAAATACACACAAAGTAATACCTTTTTAAGTTTTTTTCTAATATGTGATATTATTTTTAGACCTTGAACAAGGGTTGTTATTGTTGTTCACCATTCATTATAATAAATGATCCTCTTTTCGCAAACTTTGAGTTATTGAGACGTCTTCTCGGAGCGACTTAACCGCCTTTCCTCGTCTTTATGGCCAACCTATTATCAACTTTCGGCACCTTGGCGTTTCCCTATCCCGATTGATTATGACAGGTGATGAATGGACACCTGAGTCGGTGACAGTCGGTCACTCAGTCAGTCGGCGGACTTTCGTTTTCGGTTTTTCTCCTGCTACAAAGTTGATGTTGACAAAATGCATCGGATTCTGCGATGTTCACGTGAGAGAGAGCGACAAGCCAGGGAAATTAATTATAATTGGCCGCGGTAAATATGCAGAGATGCGAAATGCAAACTGCAAACTGCAAAATGCAAATTGCAAATGCGAGATACAAACTCGTTGGCAATCAGCAAAATCAATCATCGGGTGAGCAATTGACGAGCGGCAGCCAGCAGCAAAATCAGCAGAAAATGGGCAATAGAGTTATCAATTTTAGTGCCCAAACATGTCGCATTTCGGCGGTGAAGAGTGAAAATCGGTGGCAGGTGTGTGTGGCAGTTTGTGGGGCAACCTTGGTTTAGTTTCTGTTTCACTTTTATTATTTCCCCCCTTGGAGGTGGTGCCCCTCGAAAAACATTTCTGCCGGTTTTGTGTTAAATGCCGCGCTTAGTGCGTAAAATTTCATTTTATATTTTATAGCACAGGCATTAAGACGCCGAGTGCAAAATGAAGTTGTAGTTGAAAGCGTGTAAAATAATAACCGTTGGCACCAGCAACAGCAAAAACAACAGAAACAACCACTTGAACATCCCAAGGTGAAGTGTCGCCTGGCCTTGCCCCCCTGCCCATCTGCCACTCCCCCTTTTCCCACCTCAACTGGTGTCATTTTTATGGCCCCAACTTGTTGCACTTTCGTTGTTTATTCGTCAGACATTTAATCAGGTGCGGCCCACTGGACATCACTTTATTTCATTAAATTTTATTAAAGTGTGACCGAATGGCTGAGGTGTTTTGAGGAGTTTTATGAAAAATGTTTAAGAAAATATTTTTATTTTTGTAATCAAAATTTCATTTTTAACATAGGGACTTAGGGATTTAGTTACTGATTCGACTTGAGGGTATGGTTTTTAAAATTTTGTATTTGTCTATTACATTACTTAAAGTGGTAACATGGTTAACGAATTAAGTCATGCTTGATATTAAACATACTAAAATATAAATCTTTATATAATTCGGAAGAACGAACGAAAAGGAAAAACCCTACACATCTTACACATTTGATGAGCTAATAGGTGGAGACGTTGTTTCACCCATAATTTGAGTGATTTATTTATAAATTACACTTAACTTGTTGAACTGCGGGCACCTTGGTCACACTGCAGTGGCGATTGCAATTAACACCGTGCATATGCATTCACATTTCGAAGTCGGCGCTGATGATGTTGCAACCGCAACACTTACCATTTACCATTTACCACTTAACTCGTACCTCGTACCTCTTACTTCTTACCTGTGGTAAGACCCAGACCCAGACCCAAAACCCAGACTTCCAAGCCAAGTGCAGCAGCCACTCGAGATGGTCTTCAAGTGCATCAGATGCAAGGGGGGCCTGTATCGTCGCATTCAAATCTTCCGCATGTCAAGGTCAATTAGCATTTGGCCGGGCCTTACAGCTCCGATCTTCGGGCCAGTGCTGTGCGTGATAAAAATGTCAAAAGGTTTTCATTGGCATTTTGATGTGGTTATTGCCGTTTAGCTGCTTAGGCACTCGGCTTAGCCATCGATAAGTGTTGCCATCAGCTCGAGTCCACTTCAAAAATGTATATCCACCTATAACCTATGGCGAACACACTCCGAGTGGAAAAAAAACAGTCAGTGGAAGGCGGGGGCGTTGGGGGCCGTGTCATTGAACCGCTCGATAGGATAGAAAGTGACCGCTGCTCGGCCGCTATCCTTGGTGATCTATCTTAGTGGCCAAAATAACATACCTACAACAGCAGAAAAGTTTTCACTCCTTTCGCTTTCATTGCAATTACCAAATACGATTCTTATTTTCAATTTCAATATGACGACGACGACAGGCACGACAACGACAGCACAGTGGTTTCGAATGTGTTTATTTGAAGGTCAGATGGTAAGTGGAGGAGGATTATTTTAATCATTTTTTAAAGAGATCAGCCCGTATACTCTATAAATTATAACTTGGATAAACAACTTATGAGGGCTCTCAACAATGAATTAAGTAGTTACTATAATTCTTATCAAAATGATATTTGTATAAAGTTTCTATTCTATTCTTATTATTATATTAAATTGTTATAGATGGCATTTAAAGGGATGCTCAAAGAACTAAAATTAAGTTAAGGTTAACTTAGACTAAGAATTAAGATTAATGTACTTTCAGATTGTTGTAAACAGAACTGAGATCTTTAATATAAGATAGATCATTTGGAGAAGCGTAATATTTTATTATAAAATTTTGATATTAAGTTAAATTTTATAGCATCTGGTAAGGTAAATTTTAAATTTTTTCTTTAAATGAAATCAGTATCCAGGAAAATCCCGAGACCCTTGCCCCACTGTGCCCGATCCACGAAGGGGAAAATAGCGCCCGCGACAACGCAGTTTCGCACCAAATTTGGAGCCAGGAGCTCCAGCCAGCCGATGCCAGGCTTTTGGCCATGGCAATAACAATAACGGCGGAGCAGCTCGATGATCGCTCCAGTGGCTGAAATCCAGCTCCAGCTCCAGCTCCAGAGCTCGTGGCCACGATCGCTGCTCCTGCTGATGATGTTGGCGATGTTGTGTTGCCGGGGCCTATTACCATTTGGCTTAGTCAAATCGTTTGTTATGTTTTTATCTTGATGTCCAGTCACCTTGATTTGTTGTAGAAAATGCAATTTTTGGCATGCTCGTTGGTCTGTCGCCCCGTCTATTGGCTACCGTTGCGAAAAGTCTGGGTATCCCAGATCGCGGATCCCATCCAATGCGTAGGGTGAATCGCTTTCCCAGACGCGCAGATCGCCAATGTCGTGGGTGACGGACTGCCAATGAAAGTGAAATTGCCGTCGACTGTTTAGAATTGAAGTTGAGTGAACACTCCACGTTCATGGCTCGGCATCGATCAATTTATGGGTCTGCCTCGGGATTGGGGTTCAATGTACGGTTGTCGTCATCGCAGTATTTTTCGCTGTTAGGATACTTTACATGAATTATTTTTACCGATTTTGCGGAAAAAATGGTCCATTTTATTTACATATTTAATGCCTATTTAATAATTTTTTTTTTAAAGAAGAATCTCATTAGACATTCACTTGCACAATATGTTTATTAAATAAAAACTAATATTTCATCATAAATTCGAAACAAAAAAATATTAAAAATGCCTGTGTTTAAAAAATATCCCTTTTTATTCGTCTCCAATGAGATCGAGATTTATCCACGGGGACTATGTCAAAGGTCAGTGCATGTCTTTAGGGGGTGGGCTGGGTTGGCGAATCTAGAAAAATGCCACATGAAAACGGCGAGGCACAAAGACAATGGGCAGACGTCGATGTTGGCTGCTTGTTAGGCTGAGCCCAAACAACTTGAAACAAACAAACCAAAATGCCGCAGCTACAAAAACCAAAACAAATAACAGGCAGCAAACAAACAATAACAAAAAAGCGAGCAAGAAATCGATTGGCTAGTAAACAGAAGCCAATTTACCCTCACAGGCGAAAAGAAAGCCCAAAAGGGGGATCTGATATAGTTTCATGCGCGTAGATTGAAAGATTTATATCATTGGGAAAACTCTTTACCAATGCTTAAAGTTTGCTAGGTTTTATTTGTATTTAGCCAGCAACACTTCGGTAAATCTATACATTATATTATAACAAGAAATACATTTTAATAGTACATTGTATAGATACAAATATAAATATTTCGATAAGATATAGGAAAAAATTTCTTCAGATATCTTATCTCAGTAATGTTTTAATGTCTTATACGTAGTTCAACACAGCAAGCCAACCCTTTACTTTATTATTTCATATTAATTTTGATAAAGATCATCCGCTTGTTTTATATCAAACCCCTTGGTAAAAGTAATATACCTTTTTTGCAGAGGCATGCAAACAAATGCAAATGCAGGGAGGACTGTCTGATCATTTGTTGTTGCCTTTTTGGTGGCTGCTCTGTTGTCATTATTTATTTATGCCCAAAACGTTTCATTTTCATTTTCATTTGGCTTTGGCCAAAGGGAGTCATCGTAGTTGCCGTTGTTGCTTTTGCTTTTGCTTTTGCTGTTGGTCTGAAACCTGAAAACTGGGTTACTGGCGCCTGTTTCGGGCTACAAGATCGTGTCATGCGATTTCTATCTTTGTGTGACTACGAAAGCGACAACTGCAACGTTGTCGAACTCTGAAGAAGAAAAACCCCGAAAATCGAAACAGAAACAGAAACAGACTCGAATCCCACTGACAACGGAGAATGAGAGCTGAGAGCTGTGTGTTGGCATCGTTGGGTAGTTCATTTTGGGACTGCAACTTAAACTGGGTACTGCAACTGCAACTGCGACCGTTTCGAAAACAAAAGTAAAGTGTTTGCGCCTGCGGCGTGGGCAGGGAATTGCCATCGAAATGGGACATATAGCGAGCCGATCTCTGACTCACAAGCGCCAGTCCTCGAGAGGCAGTAGCTCGAGCCTTGGGAGTGGGTCATTCAAATCTATCACAGATGTTTTCGGGTGTGTGAATAGGGCATTCAGTGTTCCCAAGCAGAGGAAGAAAATGTATGCATTTTATTCTTAATGGGTATACATATTTTTGGAAGGTATTGATAAAAGTAAAAGTTTAGTATCTCTTGCATATAAATATTCAGATCTATCACAGATGTTTTCGGGAGTGAATAGGGCATTCAGAGTTCCCAAGCAGAGGGAGAAAATGTATGCATTTTATTCTTAATGGGTGTACATATTTTTAGAGGGTATTGATAAAAGCAAAAGTTTAGTATCTCTTGCATATAAATATAATACAATTTCTGAGAAAATGTCCCTTACATTCATTAGTAATTTATTCAAAGTAGAGGCAGTTCTCTCTGTGCATCTGGCAATGTGTGTACCGGGGTCCTCAGCAGTGGCCCAACAAAGTAGTCACGAATTAGCGCAGTTCACATGGGAATGCAGTAAGGGGGGGATTTAGGGGCATTGGGTAGGGCTAGACACTAGACACATATGCAGCTAAGAATATGCAGCGGCAGTCTCAGCTGTTGACACACTCGCACACACTTGCAGGAATGCATTCTGTTGCAACAGCGGCTGGAGTTCGTTGCCTAAGTCTTTTGTTTGGCTGACGCATGAGCGAATGAACTCGAGTGGCTAAGTGTCCGGGCTGATTTATGCGCCTGACCGCTCCACAGTCGCACCACCTACGCACTCGCATTTCCATTCCCATTTCCATTTCCCTATTAGTATGTCCAACACCCCGAGCGCCCAGTTATCAACTGATAAGTAGCTTATGTAATGGCCCACGAAAATGGGTTAAAAGTCGCTCTGACAGTTTAATTTGACACTTTTTTGGACCTCAACCTCCGTCTTGGTTTTGGTTTTGATTTTCATTTTCGTCTCACTCTCACTCTTTCCTGCTGTCTCCGCTTTTGTTGGAGAGCACGGATGACAGAGTGCTTTTTGTTTTGGTATTTTCTTTCATATTTGCTTAACAAGATTGTGTGTATTGAATTGTCATTTCTCTTGACAATTTAATTTGGATTATGCGGAGGCTACTGAACACCACCTGAATGCTGCAGGGAGTGCAGGTCGAATAAAAGGCAGAGGTGACAAGATTGGGTCACCGACTTGACAGGGATTGCATAAAGGGGAAATAATAATAACATCTGTATTTTTATTTTCATCTTAATTTTTTAATAACCATTTGCTGTTATTAAATTATAAATATTTATTATTTACCTGATGGCTTTATATATTTACTCAGATTGCTTTGAAAAAAGACATTCTATCGAAACCCTTTCCTGGTTCCTATAATATGTCTTAGATTAAAAAAATGTATGCCAAATCTTAAAAGAACTCAAAAAAAAATATTGAAAGACAAAAGCCCTTTATTTACAAATTCAAAGCATACCATTGCTTCAAAAATCAAATTTAATTGGTAGAATTTTCTTGGGCGTCAGTTAATACACCTTTTGAAGTAGTATGTACATTTAAAATGTTAATCAACGTATAGGTGAGTAAGAGAAAATATACTTGCATCAATGGTCAGTTTCTGTGATTTTTTAGGCGAGCGGCAGAGGGCCTATTCCAGCTGACTTTGGCTTGTGGCCCGGGCACGTTGTGGGCCAACTGGCCGACCGGCAGAAACAAAAGGCTCCGGCGAAACGCATTGAAGAAGTCACCAGCAGCGGGCATCCAAGGCCCCAAAAGCTGAGAGCCAAAGATTATTAATGGCTGGCCTCCTCCTGCATTTCCGTCTTGACCCAGGTTATGCAAAATGTTGGCAAAAGGCCAAACGAAAGCAGCCGAAAAGTAGAAATGTTTGCCTAACAAATGATTGCTATTTGCAGCCAGCAGCAAGTGCGTTGCCGCATTTACTGAAATGGAAATGAAAAGGAAACCCATTAATTGAAAATCCCAAAAAATTCGAAAATGCGCATGTGCACAGAGCACTGTTAACTCACTGAGGCTCTGTTAAAACTGGTCAAAAAATGTTATAGTAAAATTGGTCAAAATGAAACTGTAGCAGGAAGCTCTGCTAAGGCATTGTCTTCAGTGATTTCTTAGATTTTATCGCCGCCTGTTGCATAAACTTATTGATTTGCCATGCTTGTTGCTGCCGCCTGAGCATATAAACAAATCAGCTGCTGCTTGCCCCAAACAACAATTGCATAAATCAATTTTACACAGAAAACTGGCTGTTTTTCGCCAGCCCACAGTGCGTATGAATGGCACATGTAAATTTGATTAAAAGCACGTTTTACCACAAACGAACACCGAAACCAGAGGTATAACCAGAAAATGATGTGCTAAAAATGCATTTTCTGGCTTTCTGGCTCTCAGCTAATTTCCACTGTTTCGGTTAAAAAAAAGATGACGCCTCCACTTTTGATAAATGAAAGTAAAAGTACCAACACTTGCACTTCACAGATCATTAGCGGTGGTTACTTTTCGTTTTTTTTTGTGCGTGGCTGTGGCGTTCAATGAACCAAGTGGCCAAGCCAAAGTCATTAAAAATAGAAAACAAAACGAAACGATACGAGGCCCATCAAAACTTGTTCTTTCACTTTCAATGTCACGCCACAGAGACCGCCGGAGACCTTCAACTTTTGGACCCGCTCACCCCTGAGGGGCACTGTTTCTTCCGCCTGGGAATTAATTGCGGCATAAAGCAAACATTTTGCGAGTCAATGTACGTAATTTGAAAATCGTGCCAAAATAGATGCAGCAGGTGCAGGGGTTTGGGGGGCGAAAACTAAACACTGGTAACACCCCCGCGAAAATCCAGGCAGAGGCAGATATATGTCTGCTGCTCGTAGTATCCACTGTAGTCATTTGTCTGCATGTCGCTTTGTTGAATTGTCTATTTGTTTGCCAAAAAGTGCCATGAAGACAACTCGTTGTTGGCCGAAAGCAATTTCATTTGCTGCCGCCGCCGCTGCTGCAACAAATTACTATCATTGCTGTTAATAGTTCATTAAGTCACGGACGGGAGATGTGGATGTGGATGTGGAAGCCATGTGGAATCACTGCCACACGGAACGTGAAACCGTAAAACTTAAAATCGTACTTCAATCCGCCGCACCAAAACCGAACCGCACTGAACCTCAAGTGGCAGAATAATTGAGTGAACGGCAAGATAAACATTTCAATTTCGTTATTAAGTCATCAATTAGGGGGCAGCCCAAATCGCACTGCCGGGTGATTCGGTTTTGATTTGAACACCAGAGAGGCAAATTGCCTGCCATAAAAGTTTCGCAATTAAAACGATGCAATAACATTAAACTTCTTTGTTTCTGGGTTAGCTATTTATCGTTGGGCTCGATTGCTTTATTGCTAGTCCAAGGATTGTACAAGATTTAACAATCTGTGGGTAAATATACTATAAAACGACTTTTAAATAGAG